CAAAAATTCGTGTCTTACTATGTCATGTCGGCCCACCAAATTTGAAGGCCCATGGCATAACCCGCTATATATCGTGTCGTAATGTGGGCTGACCCGCATACTTTGTAAAAATATTTAATTTTAATATTTATAAATTATGGTTATTTTTTATTTATTATTAATAATTATTATAAAAACATTTTAAATGTTATATTTAGTGACATTTTGTATTTATATTAATTAAAAATATATATAATCACTATGAAATATAATAAAATAATAAGACATTGAAATATTGATTGAATTTCAACACTTTTTATTACTTATAAGTTATAATTATAAATTATAAATACAAACTTAGAAATTATATTAAGAATTATTATACATCTTCATTTTCATTAATTTCTAAATTCATAAAATCTTCAAATATATCTTAGCTATAAACATAGACTAGTATTTTATTTTATTTTTTTATTTTATTTTATTTTTTGGTGTTGTGATGTGCCGGCCCATGTGCCTTTTTTAGGGCCCACAACATGGCCAGCTCTACTCTCATGTCTATTTTAATCTCTCAGTCTTGTTACCTAATCATGGTTAATCACCATTATTACATCTTTGATCCGACGCTTAGAATTAAGGATTTCATTAGAAAATAGTGTGGTTAGTTGTTTCATTACAAGACTTTGAAATTATATGGAAAAGTTGAGATGGGTTAAGCTTTTTTACCTATGTATATGTTTCTCCTAATAAGGGTCACTTTCATTTTCACATCTATAAGCACCTCTCTAATAACTCATAATTTTCTCCACTTCTTTTATCATTCAAATAGTTACCATTTCTGATCATGGCTGAAGCAATTGTTTCCGCTGTCTTGGAGCAACTGATTTCAATCACTCGTCAAGGGATACAACAGGAGGTAAAGCTAGTTGTTGGTGCTGACAAAGAAGTCAAAAAGCTTAGGAGCAATCTTGAAGCTACTGAAGTTGTGCTTGATGATGCAGAGGAAAGACAAGTGAAGGAGAAAACTTTAAGTCCTTGGTTAGATCGGCTCAAACACGCATCCTACGACATTGAAGATGTGTTGGATGAGTGGAACTATGCCATGTTGAAACAACAAATTGAGGGACCTGAAGATGCTGCTGTTCCAAAGAAGAAGGTGTGTTTCTCCTTTCCCACCTCTTGCTTTTCATTCAAGCAAGTTAGTTTACGTCATGACATTGCAATGAAGATAAAAGATGTTACTGAAAATCTAGACGACATTGTGAGACAAAAAGATAAGTATGCTTTTAACACGATCGAAAGTGTTGAAAAGTCTGAACGAGTACAAAGTACCTCATTTGTTGATGTGTCTGAGATATGTGGTCGAGTTGACGACAAGAGCATTTTAGTACGTAAGTTGTGTGAGAGTAGTGAACAACACCTTCCTATCATCTCTATTGTAGGGATGGGAGGGATTGGTAAAACCACTACTGCTCAATTTGCATTTAAAGATAATGAGGTCATAAACAATTTTGAGAAAATATATGGGTACGTGTATCGAAGCCTTTTGATGAGTACAAGATTGCTAAAGCAATCATTGAGGCTCTAGAAGGGTCTACTTCGAACTTAGTTGAATTCTAATTGCTTCTTCAACGTATTAATGCATCTATTGTGGAAAAGAAATTTCTTTTGGTCTTAAATGATGTGTGGAACGAAGATTACAAAAAATAGGAATCGTTGTATCATTGCTTGAAGAATGGTCTCCATGGAAGTAAAATTTTGATTACCACACATGAGGAGTTGGTTGCATGTATGATGGGATCAATTGATATTATCAATGCTAATGAGTTGTCTGATGAAGAATGTTGGTTGTTGTTTGAGCAATTAGCATTTTTTCGTATGTATCAAGAGGAGGTAAAAAATTTGAAGAGATTGGTAGGCGAATTTTAAGGAAGCGCAAGGGTTTGCCTCTTGCTGTAAAGACTATTGGGAGTCTCTTGCGCTTTAAGAAACATAGGGAACAATGGCAAAGTATCTTAGATAGTGAATTATGGAAACTTGAAGAATTTGAAGAAGATATTTTTTGGCCATTATTATTGAGTTATAGTGATTTGCCTTCTATGATTAAATGATGTTTCGTATATTGTGCCGTCTTTCCTAAGGATTATAGAATAAGGAAAGATTATTTGATTAAATTATGGATGACTCAAGGATATCTTAAAGAAGAAGAAAATAAGGTGATGGAGTTAGCTGGTGAATAGTATTTTGATTATTTAGGATCACAATCATTCTTCCAAGAGTTTAAAAAAGACAATGAAAATATTATCTTTGAATGTAAAATGCATGATTTAGTGCATGACTTTGCCCAATTCTTGAGTAACAATGAATGTATCTCGATAGAAGTTGATGGTCTTAAGGATCCAATCATAAACTCTTCTTATCCCAAGCAAGTTTGTCATTTGATGGTGACAATTCATAAACAAGATTCAGTTCTTGGCTACATTTTTAGTCTCAAACGAATGCATAGTTTCTTATATAATTTTAAAGATTGGCAGGTTCCTTTGGCTCCTACTATCTTATCAAAATTATTTGGTGAATTGACATCTTTAAAGGCATTAACCATAGGTGGAGTGCCATGGTGGTATGAAAATTTGATTAAAGACATTCCTAAAGAGATTGGAAAATTGATATATTTGAGATATCTTAATTTGAGTGGTCTAAAAATAAGAAAACTTCCTGAAGAATTATGTGGATTATATAGTTTGCAAACTTTAGACATTAGTTTTTGTCAAAAACTGGAAGAATTACCTCAAGGAATATGAAAATTAATAAATCTACGACATCTACAGAATAATAGGACCATGTCATTAACATACATGTCAATAGGAAATCAAAGATTGACTAATCTCCGAACCTTAAGGGAATTTGTGTTAAGTGGTGGTGATGGTAATGATAATAAAACATGCAGCCTTGAAGTTTGAAATACCTTAACCTCTTTGGAGGGTTATCTATAAAAAGGTTGGGAAATATATCGAAGAACGAGGCTAAAAGATCATAAATTGAGAATCAGAAAAATCTCATTGATTTGTCTTTAGTTTATACAAAAGTAGAAAGGACGAATGAGATTGATGAAGCAGAAGAAGATGAAGGAGAGAGGATGAATAAGGATAATGAAGCACTTCTTGAAATCTTACAACCACCTTTAAATTTGGAGAAATTAGAGATACAAAATTACAGAGGCCACACTATTTTGCCCAATGGGATGATATCCTTAACCAAGCTCTGGAGATTAGTACTCTCTAAATGCATGAACTTGAAGCATTTGCCTCCCTTAGGAAAATTGCCTTCCCTTGAATCTTTGGATATTATGCCTATGAGGAGTTTGAAAAGAGTGAGCAATGAATTTTTGGGAATAGAAAGTGATGTCACATCTTCATCATTTATTTTCTTCCCCAAATTGAAAACTCTCACTTTTGAGTTCATGGATGAATGAAAAGAGTGGGATTATGAGATTACAAGAAAGGGACAAGAAGAAGAAGATGATGATATTACATCATGTTATCTCTGGTTCTCTTGCAAGTTGTTTGCTGCCTCAAATTAAAGGCAGTGCCAAGCCACCTTGTTCAGAATACAACATTGAAAAAAGAAATTTGGTTTTGTCCTCTGCTAGGCTACTATTGGTGAAGGGGAAGAAAGAGAAGTAATAATCTTATTTTTGTTTAAATAAATGCATTTGTGATTGAATAATTAATGAATTTGAAGATATTGAAAAAAAAAGGCATGTGTTAATCATAGATTTAGTTAGAGGTAATTTAAATAATGGTCCAAATTCAAGAATTAGTAAATATAATATTAATACATATGGCTGGCCTGGCATATGTATTAATTTTAATTCACTAATTATATTCTTTGATATCATTTGATTATGTTTACATTGAAAGAGATTGGTCCCCTCTCCACTTGTTTTAAGCAAAATAGAAATGATTAAATGAATGATTGAGAGAGACAGAGTGGTAGCAGAAATAGCATTGGATTTGTGATTATTTTACACTCCGCTTGTTTTAATCAAATTAGATATCAAAATCTAGTTGTTGTAGTTTTAGTTTTATACATTTGCAATTATTCGGTATTTTAAATTATAGAAATAGAAATAGAAATACATGTATATATTTATATTTTTTGTAAAATTGAACCTTTAATGTTAAAAGAATGGATTGGTCCATTAATACAAAATAAGATACATGGGCCTTCTGAAATATTTTACCTGGTGACTTGTACTATGGAGATCAATATTTGGGCCGTATATCTTAAGGGCCACTTCACAACATTTATTTCTTTAATATGCAGAGCTGATTTACTATTTGGGCCACCTATCCTCAGAATTTACAATTTCATTCACCCATCAGTAGAGGAAATACTCCAGCTCAAAGCAATAAAGGACCAATTTTTATGGGTCAATGGCTGTAACTTCATTAAATCTATTTTGCCTGATGAAACAAATGCTGAATCTTTTGGTTTTCACACTTCTCGGTGAGCTAGCATCAAATCTGTATTTCTATCTCCTACATGATGCTTGAATTAGCATTATTACTGTCATTCATACTTTTCATCATCTGATAGGACCAATTATTATGGGTCAATGGCTGTAACTTCATTAAATCTATTTTGCCTGATGAAACAAATGCTGAATCTTTTGGTTTTCACACTTCTCGGTGAGCTAGCATCAAATCTGTATTTCTATCTCCTACATGATGCTTGAATTAGCATTATTACTGTCATTCATACTTTTCATCATCTGATAGGACCAATTATTATGGGTCAATGGCTGTAACTTCATTAAATCTATTTTGCCTGATGAAACAAATGCTGAATCTTTTGGTTTTCACACTTCTTGGTGAGCTAGCATCAAATCTGTATTTCTATCTCCTACATGATGCTTGAATTAGCATTATTACTGTCATTCATACTTTTCATCATCTGATAATGTTAACGTCGTGATCTTTTACTTTTTACTAAGGCATGCAAATCTCTATTCGATCGCAGTGCCAAATATCTACCTTAGAAAAAATGTGGAAGAGAGGAAGGACAAATGTAGCACAGTATGTACTCAAAAGGACTGAAACGGTTGGTTATGCTTTTTTAACTTCTCTGTTTTTTTGCTTCATGTTTAAACTAGAAAGTACATCACAGCATTATTAGTGGTACTGTAAATTTATTTAATATTTATATAGAACTGTTGGGTTGCTCTTTTGCCAGGGAGCCTTCTCAAATTACTGTGGATTCGCTCTATGAATTCTTTTGATCACTCGTTGAGATAGGTTTGTTTCCTTAGTTATCACTCTACTTAGCGGGGACATTGTAAAGCCATGTTCTCTCTAGCTAATTAAACTTGATTTTGATATGTTCATTTTGATGCAGAGAGAGGCAAGTTTAAGGTGTCGTGAATTTTCTGAAGAACAAAGGTTTTATTATGATGTATTAAGAAGTTTAAGAATCAAGGTTTGTCATCAATTAAGCCATTATTTCTGTTTGAGCTTATTAAAACCAGGCATCAAATTTGGTCAACGGAACTTTGTATCATACTGGAAAACAGTGACAGGCCAGTAAATATCTGATGTATCTGTGCTTTTTGGAGGTCATAATCCCACTTTTCATGCATCAATTTTCTGGTACTGTTTAAGCTCTTTTTTAGTTTTAACTCCAAAACAGATCTTTAAGAAATTGATATCAAGCATATATCGAAGAATGATGTCGAACTACCCCGTTAAATAACTGTTAATGCCTTTCTCTTATGCCAGGAAGCTTCCCCAGTTGCTCTGGATTCCCTCTATGAAACACTTGGATGAGTCACTGAGGTTGCTTTTCTCATTTTTTCTAGCTTGTGGATATTGAAATTTTAAAATGCCATTTACTTGTTAAGAAGACTTTACCTGTTTGTGTTGGTTTTGATGCACTGAATTAAGTTTAAAATGCCATGAAATTCATGAAGAATCAATGTTGAAATATGATCAATATGTATGACAGAAGTTGGAAATATCTACTAAGATTAATCATATTATATTGTTTATGCGATTATTTTCTTTTTACTAAGGCATGCAAATTTCTTTTCGATCACAGTTTCAAATTTCAACATTAGAACAAATATAGAGGAGGGATAAATGTAGGAGCTTATTTACTCAAAAGGTGTCAACTGGTTGGTTATGCTTTCCCACTTCTCTGTTTTTTCTTCATGTTTAAACTAGAAAGAACATCACAGCATTATTAATGGTTCGCTAAATTCTTTAAATTCTATGCAGAACTGATTGATATGTCTGTAATTTGCTTTCTTGAGAAAGGCTTATTTTCTTTGTTATCTGTATCTACTTAGTGCGGACGTTGAAAAGCCATATTCTCTCTACTAAAATTTAATTTTGTTGCAGGCAGCCAAGTTTAAGATGTCATGAATTTGCTCAAGAATCAAGGTTGAAATATGAAACCAATTTGCAGTCTTTTTCTTAACCAAGAGTGTTATATATACTAAAAAATTTTTTCTGTTTGGGCTTATTGAGAGCAGTTATTAATTTCTCTCTACAGAACTTTTAAGTATTTTATAACCCCAATTTAAGTACGTGCTTTTTTTTTTTCTTTTTTCTTTTTTTGTCAAATTCCTTGTTACAAAGACATGTAATTTTCTATGTAAGGTTTTATATTTCATCTAAATATTTACTGTTCCAGAGATGCATTTTGCGGCATGGAAGAGAGGAAGAATGGTTTTTAGAGAGTTGCTGAACGAGCTCGTTTAATGGTTGGTTATGCTTTCTCAATGTTGCTCTCTGATCTTTCTTCAATGCGTGATGTTTAATATGAAAGCATTTCTGAAGAAAACTGGTTCTGTTATTTCTTGATAGTTTGCTAACTATGCTGAAAATTTCAATTTTCTGTTAAACATTCGAGGCCGTAGCAATGGTGGACAAAATTACATCATGCACTGAAGAAAACTTGATTGAGGCACTTGTAAGCAAAAAGAAAATTTACAAGATGAAACAATTGCTCAGACCCTGGTCTTCACATTTACTTGGTAAGCTAGCATTTCATACTAATCCCTATGTCATTTCTTTAATATTCTGTTTATTTCTGGAACTGATCAGTGGAGGAATTACTCCTGGGCAAAGCAATGAGCGACAAGTTATTATCATTCAATGATAGAAATTTCATGTTGGCACTTGTTCAATAAGAAATTTCTCCAAATGAAACAACAATTGCTAAATCTTTTGGTTTCCACATTTACTTGGTGAGTAGCATCTCATCTATATTTCTATCTCCAAAGTGCTTCTTTAAAAGGACAAATTTCATTTACAGAATTTCTGTCATGCTGAAAAATTTTGACAGACCTGGAAATATCGTCTATGAGTGATGTCCACTCTCAATTTTTCATAGATTAATCATCTGATATTGTTTATGCAATTTTTTTTCTTTTAAGCCATTCAAATTTCTATTCGACCATGGTTTCAGATTTCTATCGTAGAACAAATATGGAAGAGAGGAGGGATAAATGTAGGAGATTATGTACTCAAAAGGACTCAAATGGTTGGTTATCCTTTCTCACTTCTCTTTCTTTCTTCATGTTTAAACTAGAAAGTACATCACATTATTATTATTGGTTCTGTAAATTTTTTAACTTTTATTCAGAACTGATTTCTCTTATTGTTGGTTGCTCTTTTATCAGGGAGCTTCTCAAATTACAGTGGATGCCCTCTATGAAATCATTTGATAATTCATTGAGCTGGTTTGTTTTCTTGGTTATCTCTCTACTTAGTGGGGAAATTGAAAAGACAGGTTCTCTCTAGCTAATTAAACTTGGTTTTGATATGTTCATTTTGATGCAGTGAGCCAAGTTTAAGATGCCATGAATTTGCAGAAGAATCAAGGTTGAATTATGGTGTATTAAGAAGTTTAAGAATTAAGGTTTGTCATCAATTGTTAATGATTTGGTTCTTGTATTCTTTTTTTGACCATACGATTCCTATGTAAAGACATTAGTTCTCTTTCAGCTTATTGAAACCAGGCATCAAATTCTTTGTGCAGAAATTTGCAGATTGAGGTATCATGGTGGAAAAAGTTGACAGACTTGGAAATATCATGTATTACCTATGGCCGTATATCTTAAGGTGATAACCCCACTTTCCTTACATATATTTTCTGATAATGTTTAAGTGCTGTTTTTTCTTTTACACTCAGGCATGTAATGTTCTATTTATAGCTTTAAATTTCAACAAATAGTCATTGTTTCAGTGCAGGATTTTGTCTTCCAGAAGAAGGAAATTATGGGTTTTAGGAGAGTAGTAGGAAGAACTCAGTTAACGGTTGGTTATAAATTTTTCTTCTCTTTCTTCATTTGTGATGTTTAAAAGCACTTCACAATATTTATTTTCTGATTCAGTTATTTCTTTAATATGCAGAACTGATTTACCATTTGGTTTACCTATACTGAGAATTGACAATTTTATTCACCGATCCATAGAGGAAATACCCCAGGTCAAAGCAATAGGGTCCCTTGAATTGAGAAAATTATTACTATAAGACAACTAAAATTTTAATTCTGACAACAATATCTGAATATTATACTAAACATGATTTTAGATGTTAAAAAATTTCTTAAAAAAATTCTATCTAAGGTTTCACATTTCATCGAAATATTTTTTGTTCCAGAGATGCATTTTGCGGCATGGAAGAGAGGAAGAATGGTTTTATGAGAGTTTCTGAACGAATTCAATTAATGGTTGGTTATGCTTTCTCAAAGTTGCTCTCTGTTCTTTCTTTAATGCTTGATGTTTAATATGAAAGCATATCTGAAGAAAGCTGGCTCTGTTATTTCTTGACGGTTGCTAACTATGTTGAGAAATTCAATGAATTTTCTGTTAAACATTTGAGGCCGTAGCAATGGAGGATGAAATTACATTGTGCACTGAAGAAAACTTGATTGAGGCACTTGTAAACAAAAAGAAAATTTACAAGACGAAACAATTGCTCAAACCCTTGTCTTCAAATTTACTTGGTAAGCTAGCATTTCATACTGTTTATTTCAATCTCCAACTTTCATCTTGAAAATATTTACTGTCTCAGTGAAGCATTTTGCCGTATGGAAGAGAGGAAGAATGGTACTAGGAGAGTAGTCGAAAGAAGTTAATTAATGGTTAGTTATGCTTTCTTAATTCCGATCTCTGTTCTTTCTGTCTTTCTTATTTCTTAATGAGAAAGCATATCACAATGTTATGTTAGTGGTTGAGTTATTTCTTTCACATATGTGTAGAATTTAAGATTGGCAGGGTAAATACTGGAGGCCATAGAAATTGGTCAAGGCACTTGTAACAAAAAGATAATCTGCCAGATGAAACAAGTGCTCACTCCCTGGTTTTCACATTTGCAATTCGGTAAGCTTACATCATTAAGAGTCTGCAGGATTTTGTATAACTATGTTCGCACTTCTCGAAGGTCATAATCCCACATGCCATGTAGCAACTATCTGATAATGTTTAAGTAAATTTTTCTTAAATAATTATACTACGTCATGTAATTTCTATTCTAAGTTTAGAATTATCAGGTTATGGGAAAGAGGTAGAATGACGTTAGGAGAGTAGTCGAAAAACCTTAACCAATGGTTAGTTATGCTTTCTCTCTAATCTTTATTCTTTCTTCATTTTTTTCTTGATGGTTAAATGGAAAGCATATCACAGCTTTGTGTTTCTGATTCCGTTATTTACTTTAACATGCAGAGTTGATTTACTAGTTCAATGGCATCCTATATATGCTGAGAATTTACAATTTCTGTCACTCAGGAGAAGAAATGAAGGTCCAATTTTTATCATTCAATAGTAGAACTTCATGGAGGCACTTATTAACAAGAAGAAACTTTTTCCTAATGAAACAAGTGTTGAATCTTCTGGTTTTCACATTTTCTTGGTGGGCTCTATAATATTATCTCCTATTTTCTTCTTGAATTAGCATCATCACTGTCGTTTGTAGTCTAATAAATAATGGAAAATGATAGAGCCACCGAAGGTTGCGCACCGAATTTGTGCACCAAATGACGTGGAAAAATATTGACAGTTGATTAATATTAACTAATAATGAATCAACAGTCAGGATTTTGTCACGTCATCCGGTGCACAAATTCGATACGCAACCTTCGGTAACTGTAGTATTACTCATAAATAATACTTGCTTTTTCAGGTCATAGAGTGCATCAGTATCAAATGGTCATGGAATCATGAAATGTTAAAGGAATGGATTTGAGCAAAACAGTACAAGCATGGTAGATGGGGAGACCTGTCAATGAAAGTGGTCATGATTTGTAACAAGATATAAAGCAACTTATTCAATTGTGGGATTCAAGTTTTCATGTATTTAAATTTCAGTTGTTCAATTGGGTATGGGTAAACTGTTTTTGTCCTCGTTTATAAGTATATAATGGTTTTGTTGCTTTCTGTTTTAGCCAAGTCAAGAGATAAGTCTTGAGAGAAAAAGTGTAGAGACAAGAGACAGCTTATTGTGGAGAGCAAGGTTTTGAAAACCGGACCGGACCGCCCGGTCAGATCGGTTCGACCGGCAACCAGTGGCAAATCCAGTCCGGTGTATATAAAAAAACCGTCATTTTGATTTAAACCGAATTGGACCGCGGTTGGACCGTTGGAATAGTATCGAATCGCGGTCCAATCGCAGCTTAACCTTGTCGGATTCCGACATCTTTCGACGGAGAAAACACCCCCATTCGACGGACGACATCTCCACGACCAAAACCATCCATTTTTAGTCGTCGTCGTCTAGCCTACGTCGATCGCCGTCCACCTAAAGTTCACGTGTGATGCGATGTCGGATTTCTTTCGTTGATTCCGACGAGTTCCGATGACGATGGAACTCCCTAGCACCACCATCAAAGTCACCAGCACCTACACATCAAAAGCCCCAAGATTCCAGCTTCGATTGGCGGTCGATCGTCGCTGTCGCCACCACTCACCAGAATCTTAGCGCGACAGGAGTGTTTTAGATATATTTCAAACCTTAAGGGAGTATTAAGGGGTGTTTTTGATGAATTTCAAACCTTAAGGGACTAAATATAATTTTATAAATTACGGTCTAACCAACCGATCCAACCAGTCAAACCGGTCAAATCGAAAACTACACCCTTGAACGGGTCATTGTCCAATTCGGTTTTTAGAACCTTGGTGGAGAGACTCTCTATTTAGCTAAAAGACCTCTTGGACAGGCCAAGAGGATAAACAAAAGCAAAAGGCCTAAAGAAAAATAGGATGTACAGTCCTATACAAAACCAGCCCAATCCCCTACAAAACAGGCCTAAACAAGAGGAGTCACCATCATATAGCTTCTGTGATGGCCACTAGAATCGACGATGCTAACTGGCAGGACAATTCTTCACTTTTTAATATTATTATCTAAATATTTACTGTTCCAGAGATGCATTTTGCGGCATGGAAGAGAGGAAGAATGGTTTTTAGAGAGTTGCTGAACGAACTCGTTTAATGGTTGGTTATGCTTTCTCAATGTTGCTCTCTGATCTTTCTTCAATGCTTGATGTTTAATATGAAAGCATTTCTGAAGAAAACTGGTTCTGTTATTTCTTGATAGTTTGCTAACTATGCTGAAAATTTCAATTTTCTGTTAAACATTCGAGGCCGTAGCAATGGTGGACAAAATTACATCATGCACTGAAGAAAACTTAATTGAGGCACTTGTAAGCAAAAAGAAAATTTACAAGATGAAACAATTGCTCAGACCCTGGTCTTCACATTTACTTGGTAAGCTAGCATTTCATACTAATCCCTATGTCATTTCTTTAATATTCTGTTTATTTCTGGAACTGATCAGTGGAGGAATTACTCCAGGGCAAAGCAATGAACGACAAGTTATTATCATTCAATGATAGAAATTTCATGTAGGCACTTGTTCAAAAAGAAATTTCTCCAAATGAAACAACAATTGCTAAATCTTTTGGTTTCCACATTTACTTGGTGAGTAGCATCTCATCTATATTTCTATCTCCAAAGCACTTCTTTAAAAGGACAAATTTCATTTACAGAATTTCTGTCATGCTGAAAAATTTTGACAGACCTGGAAATATCGTCTATGAGTGATGTCCACTCTCAATTTTTCATAGATTAATCATCTGATATTGTTTATGCAATTTTTTTTCTTTTAAGCCATGCAAATTTCTATTCGACCATGGTTTCAGATTTCTATCGTAGAACAAATATGGAAGAGGGGAGGGATAAATGTAGGAGATTATGTACTCAAAAGGATTCAAATGGTTGGTTATCCTTTCTCACTTCTCTTTCTTTCTTCATGTTTAAACTAGAAAGTACATCACATTATTATTATTGGTTCTGTAAATTCTTTAACTTTTATTCAGAACTGATTTCTCTTATTGTTGGTTGCTCTTTAATCAGGGAGCTTCTCAAATTACAGTGGATGCCCTCTATGAAATCATTTGATAATTCATTAAGCTGGTTTGTTTTCTTGGTTATCTCTCTACTTAGTGGGGAAATTGAAAAGACAGGTTCTCTCTAGCTAATTAAACTTGGTTTTGATATGTTCATTTTGATGCAGTGAGCCAAGTTTAAGATGCCAAGAATTTGCAGAAGAATCAAGGTTGAATTATGGTGTATTAAGAAGTTTAAGAATTAAGGTTTGTCATCAATTGTTAATGATTTCTTGGTTCTTGTATTCTTTTTTTGACCATACGATTCCTATGTAAAGACATTAGTTCTCTTTCAGCTTATTGAAACCAGGCATCAAATTCTCTGTGCAGAAATTTGCAGATTGAGGTATCATGGTGGAAAAAGTTGACAGACTTGGAAATATCATGTATTACCTATGGCCGTATATCTTAAGGTGATAACCCCACTTTCCTTACATATATTTTCTGATAATGTTTAAGTGCTGTTTTTTCTTTTACACTCAGGCATGTAATGTTCTATTTATAGCTTTAAATTTCAACAAATAGTCATTGTTTCAGTGCAGGATTTTGTCTTCCAGAAGAAGGAAATTATGGGTTTTAGGAGAGTAGTAGGAAGAACTCAGTTAACGGTTGGTTATAAATTTTTCTTCTCTTTCTTCATTTGTGATGTTTAAAAGCACTTCACAACATTTATTTTCTGATTCAGTTATTTCTTTAATATGCAGAACTGATTTACCATTTGGTTTACCTATACTGAGAATTTACAATTTTATTCACCGATCCATAGAGGAAATACCCCAGGTCAAAGCAATAGGGTCCCTTGAATTGAGAAAATTATTACTATAAGACAACTAAAATTTTAATTCTGACAACAATATCTGAATATTATACTAAACATGATTTTAGATGTTAAAAAATTTCTTAAAAAAATTCTATCTAAGGTTTCACATTTCATCGAAATATTTTTTGTTCCAGAGATGCATTTTGTGGCATGGAAGAGAGGAAGAATGGTTTTATGAGAGTTTCTGAATGAATTCAATTAATGGTTGGTTATGCTTTCTCAAAGTTGCTCTCTGTTCTTTCTTTAATGCTTGATGTTTAATGTGAAAGCATATCTGAAGAAAGCTGGCTCTGTTATTTCTTGACGGTTGCTAACTATGTTGAGAAATTCAATGAATTTTCTGTTAAACATTTGAGGCCGTAGCAATGGAGGATGAAATTACATTGTGCACTGAAGAAAACTTGATTGAGGCACTTGTAAACAAAAAGAAAATTTACAAGACGAAACAATTGCTCAAACCCTTGTCTTCAAATTTACTTGGTAAGCTAGCATTTCATACTGTTTATTTCAATCTCCTACTTTCATCTTGAAAATATTTACTGTCTCAGTGAAGCATTTTGCCGTATGGAAGAGAGGAAGAATGGTACTAGGAGAGTAGTCGAAAGAAGTTAATTAATGGTTAGTTATGCTTTCTTAATTCCGATCTCTGTTCTTTCTGTCTTTCTTATTTCTTAATGAGAAAGCATATCACAATGTTATGTTAGTGGTTGAGTTATTTCTTTCACATATGTGTAGAATTTAAGATTGGCAGGGTAAATACTGGAGGCCATAGAAATTGGTCAAGGCACTTGTAACAAAAAGATAATCTGCCAGATGAAACAAGTGCTCACTCCCTGGTTTTCACATTTGCAATTCGGTAAGCTTACATCATTAAGAGTCTGCAGGATTTTGTATAACTATGTTCGCACTTCTCGAAGGTCATAATCCCACATGCCATGTAGCAACTATCTGATAATGTTTAAGTAAATTTTTCTTAAATAATTATACTACGTCATGTAATTTCTATTCTAAGTTTAGAATTATCAGGTTATGGGAAAGAGGTAGAATGACGTTAGGAGAGTAGTCGAAAAACCTTAACCAATGGTTAGTTATGCTTTCTCTCTAATCTTTATTCTTTCTTCATTTTTTTCTTGATGGTTAAATGGAAAGCATATCACAGCTTTGTGTTTCTGATTCCGTTATTTACTTTAACATGCAGAGTTGATTTACTAGTTCAATGGCATCCTATATATGCTGAGAATTTACAATTTCTGTCACTCAGGAGAAGAAATGAAGGTCCAATTTTTATCATTCAATAGTAGAACTTCATGGAGGCACTTATTAACAAGAAGAAACTTTTTCCTAATGAAACAAGTGTTGAATCTTCTGGTTTTCACATTTTCTTGGTGGGCTCTATAATATTATCTCCTATTTTCTTCTTGAATTAGCATCATCACTGTCGTTTGTAGTCTAATAAATAATGGAAAATGATAGAGCCACCGAAGGTTGTGCACCGAATCTGTGCACCAAATGACGTGGAAAAATTTTGACAGTTGATTAATATTAACTAATAATGAATCAACAGTCAAGATTTTGTCACGTCATACGGTGCACAAATTCGGTACGCAATCTTCGGTAACTGTAGTATTACTCATAAATAAAACTTGCTTTTTCAGGTCATAGAGTGCATCAGTATCAAATGGTCATGGAATCATGAAATGTTAAAGGAATGGATTTGAGCAAAACAGTACAAGCATGGTAGATGGGAGACCTGTCAATGAAAGTGGTCATGACTTGTAACAAGATATAAAGCAACTTATTCAATTGTGGGATTCAAGTTTTCATGTATTTAATTTCAGTTGTTCAATTGGGTATGGGTAAACTGTTTTTGTCCTTGTTTATAAGTATATAATGGTTTTGTTGCTTTCTGTTTTAGCCAAGTCAAGAGATAAGTCTTGAGAGAAAAAGTGTAGAGACAAGAGAGTTTATTGTGGAGAGCAAGGTTTTGAAAACCGGACCGGACCGGACCGCCCGATCGGATCGGTTTGACCGGCAACCGGCGGCAAATCCAATCCGGTATATATAAAAAACTATCATTTTGATTTAAACCGGATTGGACCGCGGTTGGACTGTTGGAATAGTGTCGAATCGCGGTCCAATCACAGCTAAACCTCGTCGGATTTCGGCATCTTTCGACGGAGAAAGCACCCCCATTCAACGGACGGCATCTCCACGACCAAAACCATCCATTTTTAGTCGCCGTCGTCTAGTCTACGTCGATCGCCGTCCACCTAAAGTTCACGTGTGATGCGATGTCGGATTTCTTTCGTTGATTTCGACAAGTTCCAACGACGATGAAACTCCCTAGCACCACCATCAGAGTCGTCGGCACCTACACATCAAAAGCCCCAAGATTCTAGCTTCGATTGGCCGTCGATCGTCGCTGCCACCACCACTCACCAGAATCTTCGCGCGATAGGAGTGTTTTAGATATATTTCAAACCTTAAGGGAGTATTAAGGGGTGTTTTTGATGAATTTCAAACTTTAAGGGACTAAAAAAATTTTATAAATTACGGTCCAACCAACCGATCCAACCAGTCAAACCGGTTAAATTGAAAACTGGACCCTTGAACGGATCATTGTCCGATCCGATTTTTAGAACCTTGGTGGAGAGACTCTCTATTTAGCTAAAAGACCTCTTGGACAGGCCCAAGAGGATAAACAAAAGCAAAAGGCCTAAAGAGAAATAGGATGTACAGTCCTATACAAAACCAGCCCAATCCCATACAAAACAGGCCTAAACAAAAGAACTATACAATAGGAGTCACCATCATATAGCTTCTGTGATGGCCACTAGAATCGACGATGCTAACTGGCAGGACAATTCTTCACTTTTTAATATTGTTTAAATAATTATTTTAATTATTTAAATAAAACTGATTTTTGGAAAGAAATTGTGTACAAATTTTGAAATGACAAAAATCCCCTTTTAAAAAAAAGGAAAATTACTTACACAAACAACACAAAATTAACAAATTCAACATATTTATTTATATTCATTTTTTAATGTATAATGTGTATATTTATTTTATTTTCTCCTAATTCTACATATGTCAAAAAAAATTCACATGAAAATAATATTAGTTTTTTAAATTCCATTATTTTTGCCATATTTTGTGCAAGTCAATTCATACAGTTGGTCAACATGGCAATATCAACCACAAAAAATCACATGCAAAATAAGATTTAATTATTTGAAATGAACATAAAATGTTTCCACAAAACACATTACCAATGAACAGTATATAATTATATACAGACACTTAAGCAGAACTACAATTTTCTTCCTTTTTGTGATTTTATTAGTATGGCTCCTTTGAGATTGGCCATCAGTGATGCCAATAAGACAACACACATATTCAATATGGCGATCTTCAAACCTGTTCTTGATTTGAAGGGATTCATTGGAGCGATTTTAAAGGTGAAAGTCGCCCGACTAACAATCAAGTTAAACAATCAAGAGTTAGAAGACGATGAACTCCTTTATAATTACAACTTTGGACGATTTTCTGCTATTGTTCTTCGTGTAAAACCGTTAGGAGGTCCAGAAGTCGACTTCATAGTAAAATTTTATGGGACAATGAACAATCGTCAAGGTGAGGGAAACAGTTCTGGTTGGTCAAAATGACTCTCCATCGCTATAACATCGAGATGGACGATGATTTTCCTCTTTCTTCATACCCTATCTATAAATAAGTCATGAATTTTCTTAAATTGTAAGATTTTCTCATTTTCTCAATATAAATAAATTCAATTCAAAGTTAAGTGCATTTTTCATATTTCAAATTCTTATAGAAAAATTTGAGAATTTTAAATCATTGATTTGAAGATTAATAACTATGCATTTAATTCTAATTCCTTTTTTTTTTTTTTTTTTAAATTCGAATCATATTTAATGTCACACTTGTATGTTACATAGCATGGTTTTAAAACCCAACCCAGCCTAGCCAGTTCAATCTGGAATTTGTGATCGAGCCAAGTTAGTTTGACTAAAAAACCGAAAATATTAAACGACCCAGTTTGAACCATGGTTGGACCCGATTTTTTGTTAAGAACAGCGGTCCAATCAGTTAGACCTAGCAGTTGAACCACATTTTTAGTATTTTATTATTTTTTATATGTCAGAATGATGTCATCATGCTAATATCAGTATGATGACATCACAGTTCGACTGGCGGTTGAACCGGTTCGATCGGCCAACCTGGTGACCTGATTGGGTCACTCCCTGGACCGGGTTTTAAAACCTTATTACATATTGTGATATAATTGTTATTAAGGAATGTTAACATTGTCTAGTCCCTCACGAAGAACTTACAACATAAAATAACTCTGAAAAAATAAATACATGTGACGAGAAACATTAGGATAACAGTTTTTTCGCCCGTTTCGATTTTGTCATTAGCACAATCACGGGTGGACAGGAAGTACCCGAATCCAAATGCAAACCTTGGGAACCATTTTTATTTAAAGAAGAAAATTAGAGAGTTTTAGATGTGGATGTGATGAGACTAAATTCAGTGGCTAATAATACTACAATATTGAATTTTGGCAAACCCGTACAACCATATGTATTTTACATCGATTAACATCGATTAAGCGAAGAACCCCAGACAACCTCATCGGATTCAAGACAGTTCATTTCATCAAACAGTTTCATGGCTACAAAAATATCACAACTCGACCTCGAATAAGAATCAACAGGAGCAGTTGTCATGACATGTGTATTCTTCAAAACTGATTTAACTATCTGGGTATGAACAATTTTAGTCCTACCAAACTCAAACCCCAAGAAAAGATTTCAAAATTATCGGTATCTGTGTAAATAGAACAACAGTTAGAATAAAAATACAAGTGATTGAACCAACAATGAGTTGGCCGTGTGGTAGGGGCTTGGAGCTAAAGAGTTTGCTCTCCTAGTGGTCTTAGGTTCGAATAAGAAGAATGGTTATTAATATTGTTGGGTACTGACCGCATGGCTTGTCTTGTTTCAAAAGCATTGTTCGGAGTCGAAAGATTAATTGAGATGCACATAAACTTGTTCAGACACTCCTGGTAACCAAAAAAAAAAAAAAAAAAAAAAATACAAGTGATTGTTGAGAATGCAATCAGAGACAGTTGTGGTTTTTAGTGGAAATAAAACAGATTTTGAAACCTATAAGAAATGGGAATGAGTGCGGAAATTTGGAAAATATTTATTGGGAAACTCTTGTAACAGGATCAAGATTATTTTCGGATATAAACTTTTACATAAAACATATAAAAGCTTGTGAACATCGTTATGCTAACGTGGTGAAATCGTTTACGTGAACAATTTCATTTTTTACAATAACTACTATTATAGTTTATCAATAGAATCGCCTTTTTGATGGGTGGTTTTACAGAATTACGATTTATATGATAATTCTAACTGAGTAGTTATACCTTATCAATATGATTATTTGGTAAGATAATCGAGTTAACGACTTTTTTTCACCCAAATAATGGCTTAATGACACTTTACCATTTACAGATTTTTAAAATATTATTTTACTACTCAAATTTATATTCTAATGATGAACAAAAGACAAACTTGGTTCAAGTCGTTAGAGCTTTTGAAGAGGGGAGACTGATGAGTCTTTTGATGGTGAAATGTTAGATTTTTGTGGATGAGATTGATCGGAGGCAAAGTCTTTGGGAGTAAGGTTTGAGGAGTTTTGGTAAATGATGATTAAAGAAGTGAATGATAGTGATGTGGGACTGCAATGATGTCGGAATCAAAAACGGAATATAAATTTGGACAATAAAGTGGTATTTTAAAAGTTTTTGTGTAGGAAAGTGTCATTAAACTATTATTTGGGTGGAAAAAAGTCATTTACTCAAGATAATCTCATATAAGTATTTTTTTAGAGAATTTAGTACTTATCTTTTCTAGTTGACATTTGGTCATAAAACATTTGAGAATTTTAAATTATTGATTTGAAGATTAATAACTATGCATTTATATAATTTTTTTTTTTTTTTTTTTTTTAATAAATTCGAATCTATCTAATGTCACACTGTATGTTACATACTGTGATATACTTGCTATCAAGGAATGTTAACATTATCAAGTCTCTCATGAAGAACTTACAAAATAAATAATTCTGAAAAAAAAATAAATAAATAAATAAAAGAGGATATGCATGTGGCGAGAAACATTAGGTAAACAAGTGATACCATATTAAAGGTATCAAATTTTCCGAGCATCTTGTGAAGAAAGAGTGTTACCAACTTCCTAAAAATTCTCTGGTGAGATTCAAAAGCTTCTACAAGACCCACTTGGTTTACCAATTGATTTCGATTTGGTGTGAAAATTTTGCTTAAGTGAGATTTAAAAGCGTTTGCAAGCAGTGGTGCAATCTGATATCTGACCCAATTCTCCAAGCTCCACTTCAAAAATGTATGTCAAAAGT